CTCCTCTGTGATCGTGGCGATGAGGTCGTCGGAGCCGGTGGTCCAGGTGATCTGACCGATGGTGAACGTGAGGTCGTTCGGTGTAGCCATGAAGCCGGGGATAATGACCATCTTGTTCGCTTGGAGAGCAGTACGCACACCCCCTACCTAGTGTGCCACTGTCGACGAAATATGGTCGACAGTCTACCCAGGGGTATGCCCAAGGTAGTAGATTGTCGGCAGACAGATGCGCAAGCTACGAACAAGACGGTGATGCAAGATAAACATGAGGTTTTATCCAGGTTCGGCCGCCAAGAAGGCATAATACCTACGTCCTGCGTCTGATTGTATTGTTGTATGTCAATGAGAGGTGTTTTTAGAGGGGTCCCCTGCCCGCCTTATATAGTCCGGGGGGCAGGGTTACAGATCTAGAAACTAATACTAGTTAGTTACAATTGCCATAGGTAGCGGATAAGGATTTCTATTCTAACCGACCAGGATCTTGCTTGATCACCAAATCCGTCTTGACTCCTTGTGTGGGACTCCGAACAGGTTGGTCGGGCCGCGCGTCGTCTTTAGGTGGACCGGACCCTCTGATCTGGGCCGGCCTAAGCCTAGCCGTAAGGGTATAGGGGTTAATATCCCCACAATCTCCAAAAGTGACACTAATACACGTAGCATAGTACACACCCTGGGGATGAGGCCCATACCCAGCCTGGTATGCCCCTCTTGCCCTTTTGGTAAACTGCTACAAACTAGAAAGAGCAAGGTACTAGACTAAGACCAGAGTCATATAGTCCTCATGGTTGTACTGTAACTCCTAGATGATCACTTACAGATAAGTCCTTAGGGAGAGGAATCTGAAGCATTTAGAAAGTAGCTAAACACTCCAACCCATGTTTCCAAGTTGCTAAAAAGTCATATTTTAATGTTTATTGCATATACCATTAGTCAAGTTACAAGATCATGGTTGTAGTTGAGCACTAGCAAAGCTACCCAATGCAATACCCCATAGGTATCAAGGCACAAGGTACAAAGTAACAGGACATCCTTAGTAGTAGTCAAGGTAGACACATACAGTATGAATTAAATGATTAAAGGTGTATAGGACAACAAGGATGATCCCATGCTATACTTGCCTTAAAACACCGATCCTTGAGAAGCTTTAATCTTCAACGTTCTTCTTCTTCTTCTTAAGCACCACGTATATCTCATCGATTGGACTTAATCATAAAGCACCACACAAGCATCCATATAATCATACACGAAGCAAATAATAGATCTAAATTAGAACAATACACCAATCATAAAATCAAGAGGAAAAGTTTGTAAAATGAATCTACGTCTCGCTACGAACACACAGACGGAAAAAGCACACTAATCGGAGCTATAACGAAAAAGATACAACTACCGAAAGATTTGCTTCATAAAATTGAACCAAGAGCTTTATAAATTTTATCTATATAAAAGGATGTATATGATATTTCAGAGAAATACCTAAGTTGTATTAAGTCAAAATTCATATTTGAATTTAGAAGACAAAAATAAAATTAATCATATTTTATTTATAAATCTAATTGCATAATTATTAATCAAATTAGAGTTTAAACCATGAATTTCTAGAATAATTAACATAGTAAAAATTATTACTAACACGTAGATCATGTTGTTACGAATCCAACGCAACTTAAATGAGTCAAAACGGAGTTAAAACGTAAAAGATATGAATTAAACAAGATTTCATTTAATAAAATAATAGATTAAATCTAATCACGAATTTTAAAAGTTAAAAATATATCTAATAGTAGTATAAACATGTAGATTATGAAATTATGAACCTAACGCAAGTTGAACGGATCAAATCGGAGTTAAAACGGAGAAGTTGTGGCCTAAAGAAAATAGTGGCAAATCTGCAAATAAGTGAAAACGTATTTTCAATCTAACCAAAACAAAATACGCTTTCAAAAGAAGAAAACGAAGTCGGTAAAGACGTAATGGATGAGGGGTTAAGTCTCAAATATTTATAAGGGCTTTTTGTAAATCTAACAGCGAAGGGGTAACTTGGATCTTGAGCCATTGGATTAGAGTTGGACGGTCGTGATTAGATCGGTGGGTGAAAGGCGACGGCGGCCGGCCGAAACAGGGGAAATCACAGCGGCGCGCCATGGCCGGCGATGGAGCTCTGGCGTCGAAACTCGAAAACGACTTTAGGGCCACGATTTTCAACGGGGAAAACACAGGAGGAGAGAGGAGGTTGAGGCGAGCTCACCTAGAGGGTTCCCGATGGTGGAGAAAGCACGGAGGCGACTCGGCGGTGTCAAGCTCCATCGTCGGGATCCGAGCGATGGCGCTAGGCTGTCTTGGGGCGAGGGCAGCGTGCTCTCAGGTTCGGGGAAAACGGCACGGCCTTAGTTGATACTTATGGGGCGAGACAGCTTGCGGCGCATGACATCGAGGAGACGGGGGGACACGGACACACGGCGCAGCGGCAGACTCCGGCGGGGCTACGCGAGGGAGAAGGCGGTGCTGATAGGGCGGCCCCGCCTATCGGCGTAGGAGAGAAGTAGGGGATGCGCGACGCGGTGGTTTGGGCTAGGTTGCGCATGGCGTGGGCCGAACTACGCGAAAGGGAAAGAGGGGAAACAGGAGCAGGAGCGGCCAGCTGGGCCTGTGCACAAGACGAGGAAGCGGGCCTACGCGAAAAAAACATTTGGGCCGACTCAGCCACACGGGGAAAAGCGGAGGAAGCGGGAAGCGGGCCGGCGGCTGCTGGGCTGCGAGGAGGGAGTGGTGCAGTGGACCGGCTGGTCGCTGGCCAAAAAGGGGAAGAGGAGCGCAGCAGCTCGGCGGCCAGCTGGCCACGCTGCTCCGACGGCGGTCAGGCAACAACGCCACCCATCTGGTCGGCCATGCGCCCGCACCGCCTGCCTCATTGCCCGTCTCCCGCTTTGCCTGCCTCGTCCCCGTGAGATCCAACAGCGAAGCCACCCCCACCCTCGGCGTTGCTTGACTTGCTTCAAACGTCGACGTGTGCGGCGGTGGCCCGGCGTAGGGCAGGGGCGAGTAGTTGAGGAGGACCGGTGGTCGCGTACCTCCGGTAGGAACTCAAGGCAGAGGCTTTGGGAGGGTGGGGCTGCTGCTGCTGGTGGTCGACAAAAACCAGGAGCCAAGAGTGACGGCGGCCCTCGGTGGCGGAGCCCTGACCCTGGCAGCAGGCGTTGATGAGGGTGGGCGGTGGCAGGTGCGTTGTTGGAGCAGGGTGGGACGGTGAGGTGCTGCAGCGGCGGCGGTGGCGTGCAGTCGGGGGAACCCGGATAAGGCCGAGGACATCGCTGCCGAATGGGAACTAGGGGTGGCACTGCCGCTTGTCGATTGGGAAGGAGGGATGGGCTGGCCAAGCGCCGATTGGGGACGTCGCGGTGCCATGGATCGATGACGTGGAGGCTTCTAGCGCTGGTGGATGTGGGGAGGGTGCGGGAGCGAGCGGGGCGAAGGAGTTGGCATGCGTTTGTCGCGGGCGGGGTGAAGGAGTCCTATTTTACGATTCCTATTTCATCTTGTTAGTGGTAGAGATTTGAGGCGACGGGGACGACAACGCCGAGAAAGGAAGGGAGGGAGGGTAGCGGGTGGGTATGCGTGGGTGCGTAGGCGGGTAGGCGTGGAGTACGGCGAGAAAAAAATCCAACGCAAGACGTTGGCGAGACATAAACATGCTGTTCCATGTAAAGAGTTTCGATCAGCTTTTGACAGGGTCCACTTGTCTGATCAGGTGGGAGATTGGTGGTTATAAAATATCTGGATGATAATATATTTTTAATTCCTTCGCTCCTTTATAGTACATAATAGATGAGTTATCACGGAGAGTTGAACCCAGGCCTATTGGATGCTACCCAGGTGCTCTAACCAGTAAGCTAGAGACCCTTTGCTGTAAAATGGTCATTTTACTCCTCACTTTACACATTTAAGTTTCTAATCAAACAGAAAAGCATATAGGTGACGAAATTTAGTTTTCGGGCCTTATAGCTAAGTTCAAAGAAAAAAGAGCCATGAAAGAAAGCTGGACTTTTTTTTTTGGGCCTCATAGGTAATTTCTCAGTACATAAAGGAAGGACCTTTGGTTTTTGTTAAAGCTGCTTTTAAGGTCTATTTAGTTTAGGGTGGCTGAAGTTTAGTCATCCCTACTTTAGTTCATTTTAGTCATTTTTTTTATCAAATAAGGTGACTACACTGTTCATTCGCCGGCTTAAATTATTTCAGCAGTGCTTTTCAGCAAACGAATAATATTTTTCTCACAACAAATCAACATAAACATCAACATAAGCCATATTTCAGCGAAACAAACAGGGTGGGTCAAAAAAAAAAAGACACCCCGACCCCTCATTACTGCTACAACAGTAAAGATCCAGGCATTTAATAAGGGTCTTTTGGTCCTTTTTAATAACTTTAGTCCTTTTAATCACTTAAAGCCAGCAACCTATAACTAAAGTTTAGTCCGAAACAACCAAATAGACCCTTAATCGTCTTAATAAAAATTGCTTCTTGAATTCTTGTAGTCTGGCACTGACTGCTGGGCCAACGCTCGCAGTAGCCAAGAGCCCAAGACCCAAGCGCTCCCCTTTCCCACTTCCCAGTTCCCAACCCCCAGAATTCGAATCGACCGATTTCGTCGTCGCCTTCCTCTCCACCTTCCAGAAGTTTCTAGACCTAAGGAACCGACCAGTGTGCAAGCCATTGTTCAAACTCAGCTTGCTAGTCAGGAATGGCTAGAGATGGGTGGCGTGCGGCGAGTCGCCAAGGGAGTGCGGCCCCATGAACTAGGCGCCGGCGGCTAGCTTTAGCTGCTCCTTGCTCCCCGCTCAACTCCACCCCTCCTCCAATTCCAAGCTCGAAAGGTAAAATAAGTTGTGATCGTCAAAGATTTGGAGGTAGTTGTGTGTGACGGAGCGTGGAATCCACCTTTCTTGATTTTTCTCTTTCGTCTACTTCTCCCCAGCTCCGGTGCTCTCCACCTGTTCGACGCAATGCCGCAGGAAGAAGTAAAGGTCTACCACCGGTGCAAGATCAAGAAGGCGCGTGATGTGGGCTTCGACGGCTACTGCGGGATTGACGTACTTCCGGATGAGTCTCTGCAGCACGTGCTCTCGTTTCTGCTGGCGCGGGAGGCCGTGCAGACCTGTGTGCTCGCGCGCCGCTGGCGCCACCTCTGGAGGTCTGTACCTGCGCTGCGCATCACCTCTGGACCCCGTTGGGAATGGATCACTCAGCAAGAGTTCGACGATCTGAACACCTTTGTGACCAATCTGCTGCGCGAACGGGACCTCAACGCACCACTGGATGTATGTGAGCTCATTATCAATCCGTTTGAAAACGTTGTCAAGGAAACAGAGATCTCGAAGATAAGAACATGGATCCAACAGGCTCTGCTGTGTAAAGCTCAGACTCTCAGGATACTATTCGATGAGCCTGATTACTCTAGCTTGATGCTGTGGCACCTGCCCCTTGTCTCCCATTACTTGACGACGCTAGAGCTTAAATGTGTGCGGTTAGGAAATGGCTTTCTTGATTTTTCAAGCTGCCTGACTCTGAAGAATCTACGGATGAACCTTTGCTACATTTGGTCAGAGAAAATATCATCACAGTCCCTTAAGCTGCTGACAATCATTCACTGTTGGTTTCGAGATCACAAACGGACTCGGATTTCTGCTCCAAATCTTGTTTGGCTGGAACTAAGTAATCATCATCGTAAGACTCCTATCCTTGAAAGCATGCCATCATTAGTGAAGGCATTTGTTAGACTCCGTGATTGCTTGGATCATTGTGGTAAAGAAGAATTTGGGGGCTTGTGTTCTAAGAATGACTGCATTAACTGTGTTCATAATAGTGAGAAACACCAAGGTTGTGTTCTTCTGAATGGTTTATCACAGGCTGAAAGATTGGAGCTGGTAGCTGGACCTGGCACGGTATATTTGTACCAACTTCCCTTTATACTCTTCTCTGATCACCTGTTTCCATTGCGACATTTGTATTGTTCTTTGGCATACACTGTCATTTATGTGTGAGGTCACTAATTTGATGTTTTAGAAATCATGTTTCCGTGAGAAAGAAATTTCTCATAAACTGTATTTTGTCCCTTTTCAGCATTAGCTAACTTCTGAAATCATAATTTGTACTAAATTTGATCATCAATAGTAAAAAAAAAAAGCCGGAACATGCTGCACTAAAAATAAAGTCCTCTCAGTACCTTCAGGTGTGGTCTGGAGGTGTCATGCAATCTAGGTTTGGTGGTGCTGAGATAGATTTTGCTCAGCCCATTTCTATCATAGGAGTAAACCACAATGTCTGCAGGGAAGTTTGGGTTTTTCTCCTTTTAGTGGAAATAAACTGCTACTACCTTGATACACATCAGTGCTGTGTAGTTGTATTGGTATTGGGTATATGCTACCTCAGGCAAGTGTTGTTTCACAATAAATGTGAATTTAATCAAAGTTGAAACTTTACTGTGCATGTATTATAGAAAAGCACTTAGGGATAGATGTAAAGTATGACAATAATAAACCTCTCCTGATACTGTGGCCATAGTTTTGTTTTTCACTTAAGTTCTTACATTGAACTATTCCTACTTGCAACTTGTCCAGTTTATTTTCAAAAGGGATTTGATGTGGCACCCTACATTTAGCAAGTTGAAGACCTTGCTACTCAATGAGTGGTGTGTGTCTCTTGATTTCTGCGCATTAATATGCTTTCTTCGACATACGCCTGTTCTAGAGAAGCTCATTCTTCAACTTTGTCAGGTATATGTTAAATAAATCTCATTGTCATATTGTCTTATCATGCATGTTGATTGATTTAGGGTAAATATTGTATTTGATACAGGCTCCTGACAATTGGGTGAAACCAAGGGGAAAATATGTTCCATCCAAAGAGCCATTTGCATCTAAGAAACTTAGAGTAATTGAAGTTAAGTGTGAAAAGTTTGATGTGAGAGTTCACCGGATTTCAAGGATTCTGAGCATCTACAACACATATCTTGAGAAGGTCACTATTGAGTGTTCCGAGAGGTGTTCTGAATGTAAGTTGGCAATTTCCACCTTTTTGGCTTCTTTTATTTTATTCCCACGCATTCATAAAAACAAATGTCATGTGAGGCTTCAACTGCTAGGCTGTGCTAATTGTGACAGCTAGGATGTGCTGGAGGCCATCATAGCTTACAGCTAGGCTCCTTTGTCCCTTGGTTAGGCTGTTTTATTTAATCTTGATTTAATCGTTTTGTCAGCTAAAAGAATAGTTTGTTCTCCATTAGCTACATTTATTAGGAGCAGCCAATTAATGGTAATGGCAATTTCATTGGTTTTATAAAGAAAAAATAAGTCTATTCTTTCATCAATTTCTCTCATTCTCAACCACATCCATGGACACACAAACTCCCTGGTGTCATGGTCAAGTTACTTGGAATATGGCTGGGCAGAGAACAGCTGCTGCTGTCTATGATCTCAGTTCCAGAGATGTAACATTAAGCAATGCATTAACACACAAATTCGTTACAGTTACAAACTTTCATATTGCAGAGCCCAGAGGGTAGTTATATTTTTATATGTTTCTGCCCAGTATTACTCAAGTAATTAATTCAAATGTAGCATTGACAATGGTGTAGTTCACAGCTTAAAATACTACGCTGCTAACTATCCCCACATTTTTTAAAAGATTTCTCACACCTTTGTGGTGGTTTGTAGATACAAACATAGATGGTGCTCTCACCCACTTACTTTCTGGCTTTGCCCAAGTAGTGGTCATGTTGATTACTGTGTTAGGAAGTTGTCATTAATTTAAGTTTCATGGTTGTACTGAAAAATGATGTGGAATCTTACAGATCTCTCACCCTCGCTCGAATACAGGATGTGGATGTGTTAGATTTTTTAAATGTTATTCTATTGTTTAGAGTTTCATATATCAGAAAAAAAGGAGAGCCAGAGTGCTACTTGAAACAATGTTTGAAAGGAAAAAAAATGAACTTATCCAGATTCACAACAATTTCATCAAATTGCATATTGGTCGTGATGCTTCTAAGTTTATGGCCTTATTGAGGAATTTACCTTTCTATTCCTCTCCATGTTCGTGTAGGTTACAGCTTCCAGAAAAATGATGATCTACTCTGGTGATTTATCTGCTTCGCCTATGCAGTTTCTTGACCGTTGAGATTTGCTAGACTGAAGAGTGCATCAATGTTTGCTCTCCTATCCACTGGGATCTTATGTGAACCTGCTTCGTGTTTAGCAATTGACCTTAGAGATAGCAGCGTAGTGTATTGACATTTCTTTGGCACTTGCTCCAAGATTGCTTTATGCTTGTAATAAGTCGTAAGTTGTGTTCTTCAACTTTCTAAGGATGGATGTGCTGCTGTCCATGATTTTCTGTATTAGCTGGGCTGGTATCTTGTTCAGTTTCAGAATCTCTTTTCCTTCTATGAAAGTCTTGTACTGTGTTAGGAAGTAAGTCTTGTTCCTACTGCCTACTGCTCTCAATCAGAGCCTGTTTGGCAAAAGCTAGTTCATCTACAAGTTTGCACCGTGCCACCGTGTAGTGTGATCATCGCCTTGCAGGAACTAAGGACTCAATTCTCAGCAGACAATTCTCGAACTGCCAACAAGGAGACAAGCAGAAGATTTGTTTATTTTTTTAGCAAGAGATCTTCGAGACCAAAGCAGCTGGTTAGCTTTGCCATCACCAAATCTTATTTGCTGGTATGCATAGCAAATAACCGTGCCTCGGGTGACTGAAGTCTACTGTGTGATTTTTATAGACCAACAGGTGCTGTCTAGGTTACCACGTGACATGCGCGTGTCGTTAGGCCAGTCTTAACGGAAAGTTTCATGTACCAGTTTCCAAGACTCTACGTGTTGGAAATGGTGGAAACGAGTTTCATCCATTTCATCCCATGAAACTTTCATCACCTCTCTTCTTAAAGGTCAAGAAATGGAAGGTGCATTATTGTGTTATTCCGCCATGCAAAGCAAATTAATTAGAGCTGTCAATTTGTTGATCACACTGAGGTAGCATAGGCGCATGCGTGAAGCACAAACCTGAGTTAGGCTAGTGAAAGTGATTGCATTCACACGGATCAAGGCAACGTTTTGTTCATCAAAGATCCATTCGACGATGACCTATGTCGTCATGTGGAAGAGAGATGATATGTTACCTTGGGAAATAGAACATGTACTGACATCTGAAAATGGATTTGAAGTGCATGTACGCAATGTAAGCAAGGAGGGCCTACCACTCATAGTCTCGCTGATTGAATTCCCACATAAGAAGACTAGCAAACATCACTTTGCCTGTTTGCCTTAACCACATTCTGTTAGCTAATACTTCCGTCACAAAATAAGTGCACATTTTACTTAGGGCAGTACTAGCGCCCAGACGTGGTTGCTGCACGCCCGCGACGCTTCCTACGCCCGCAGCCGCGCAACGCTCTATCCCACCGCTTCCCACACGCATGCACGACGCCCCAGCAGCTGCAGCAAGCGGCTGTGGCACGTGAGTCATGTTGCAACATGTACAACATCCGATCTACTTTTGAAACATCCAGATGAAACTTTTGCAACATGCGTCTGAAGAAAGATGAAACAGTTGCGAAAACACCTAAAAATACTTGAAAAGCCATTGCAAAACATATGCAACATACTGACAAAAACACTTGCAAACATATATGTGTAACATACACAACATCCCAAATAAAAACACTTGCAACATATGTTTGGAAAAACGGATGAAATATTTGAAACAGACGCTTGCAACATACATGTATAGCCATTGCAACGTATGCAATATCCCGATCTACTTCTGCAACATCTATATGAAACACTTGCAACATACCTCTGAAACATCTACAACAATTGAAACATATGTTTGCAACATAGGAGGGAGAGAACGAGGCCGGTCGATTCTGTCCGTCTGGGTGGGAGTCGACGGCATGCGAGCACCACCAGCACCGGCTACACTCGTGGGTGCCCCTTGGCTCGGCTGGAGATGACCTGAGGCGCCTCGACACCTGTGCCCAACCGCCATCGGCAAGGGCAGCGGCGGCAGCCCGCGGCGGCGACACATCCTGACATCGCTAGGTTGCGGAAGAGGCCGGGGAGGCACTGCGTGAACTGAGGAAGGAGATGGCATGGTCGGCTTGGGTGGAGAAAGGAAGCAACGGTGGCGCGCGCGAGACTCTGCTGCTGCCAGCAGACACGAGAGAGAGCCTGGAGATGGGGAGGGCGAGACAAAGCGGAGAGATAGAGAGACGGGTGAGGCGGAGTGGAAGCCGCGTCAAACCGACGCCCGCGTCCGAGTATTTCCGTTTAACTTGTCGAGAAGTTAAACTTTTTTAAATTAAAAAATATATACACACACAAAAATAGCACTCCCTCCGTTCGAAAGTATAAGTCATTTTGACTTTTTTTTTCTGGTACATCAACTTTTGGAACGAATGGAATATTATTCATGATGTGTAATAAGCATAATTTTATATAGAAATTGTAGAACGCACTTTCATTTTAAACTTATTTGGAGATATAAATATTAATACTATTATATATATATAATTAGTTAAATTTTAAAAAATTAACTTTTCGAGAAACGTAATTTTTTTTGTTTATTTTAGGATCAAGGGAGCAGGAGTAATGATCCTGCCTTGAGCTCTAGCCTGTCCACAATACACAAGTTTTTTTTAGGGGTCAGAATACACAAGTACGTACACACAGCAGGAAGGAGTCCATACGCAAGGCCCAAGGCCCAGCCCGATTGACGAGCTGCTGCTTTTACTTTACTGACGATGATGATTGAAGGGTAAATCGCCAAACCCTCCTGCCGCCGCCGCCACTCCATCTCGGCATCTCGCCGCCGCGCGCGCACAATGCTGCATCCCCATTTCCCTGCGACAGCCGCGCTCTCTCTTCGAAGCGATGATTGCATGATCGAGGAGAAGTGATTGAGGCATCTCTCCGCCGCCCGTCCAGGCGCAGCTAGTAAGGTGAATTGGGGATCTTGCTTTCACTCTGTTCGTGCCAGCCATCTTTTTACTCGCTCGCAGCGGCTAGTGACGGGCTCTGATTGGTGGGTGTCAAGCGATGGCGCCTCTGACGAGACGCCGGAAGAACGCCCTTGCCGCGGCACCTCCAGCTCCGGTGATCGACCCCGCCGACCGCATCAGCAAGCTTCCGGAGGAGATTCAGGCGCAGGTCCTGTCGTTCCTGCCGGCGCAGGAGGCCGTTCGAACGTGCGTCCTCGCGCGGACTTGGCGCCACGTCTGGAAGTTCACCAGACGTCTGCTCATCACGGGCGACTCCGTGCAAGAGGTCCGGGAATTCGTGGACCTGCTGCTGATCAATTTCGCGTCCCTCGACGCGAGCGAGATCAGGTTCGATCCGTGCGAGGAGTTCGACGACGACGATGACATCGATCCCTACCTCGACGATGAGGACACGTCCAGCCTCAACAGATGGATCAGCCGTGTCCTGGAATGTCAAATCCAGATGCTCTGGGTCGACATAGATGCTCGAGGGTACTTTGATGCCTACTTGCATATGAGCAACAGGCTCCTCGTCTCGCGGCACTTGACCAGGCTAGAGCTCACAGGCGTATTGTTTATCTGTCGTTGCCTCAACCTGGATGGCTGTCCTGCATTGGAACATCTGGAGATTAATGAATGCTGCTTGGAAGACGTGAGGAAGATCACTTCCCTGTCACTGAAACACCTCGTCATCACATCCTGCGAGTCCAATGACGCTCGTAACCGCATTCAGATTTGTGTTCCACGTCTAGTTTCTTTGTTATGGCTGGGTAACATAGATGTCATGACTCCCCTGCTAGAGAGAATGCCAGAGTTGGTGGAGGCAAAGTTCCAGATTAACTCATACCGGGATAAGTGCTATTGTGATGATCCCATGGCTTGTTACCACATTACGCAGGATGGTGACACTTCAGATATTGATTCTGATAGCGATGACGGCGAAGAAGGTTCAGGTGATTATGCTGGACAAAATACCACAAAGTGCGTGGTCCTTGAAGGTTTAGCACAAGCTAGAGATCTAGTGCTGTTAGCTGATCGCCCAACGGTACAGTACACTCAAACATATATGCCTTTTGTCCTTGTGGATTATTCACTGTTAAACTATATATATATTTCGAGTCAGAAAATTGTCCCTGCTAATAGCAATTATATATTTCTACACTCATGCATTCCCACCATCTAAACAATTTTTATTTACTATCTTTTTTTTTCTTCTGAGTGCAATCTGTCCAGTTTATTTTCAAAAGGGATTTGAGGTGGTGCCCCACTTTTTCCATGTTGAAGACCTTGGTACTCACTCAGGTTTACTGGTGTGAGCCTGCTGATTGCAGTGTACTAGAGTGTATGCTTGAACATGCACCACTTTTAGAGAAGCTCACACTTACTTTAAAAAAGGTAAAATATTTCTAAATGGCGAACCACGGTTTCATTGCTGACTGGGTGGGTAGTGAATTATTACTGATTGAACTTGGTGACTTCATTTCAGGAACCGCGGGACGGCAAATATAAAGTGGAAATAAAAGGATACCCTGATGCAAAAGTGAAATCGACCAAAATATCGCAACACCTTCAGATAGTCAAGATCATTTGTGAAGATGTCAATGGAATATTTTTTAATGTCCTGAATTTTCTGGGTACACTCAACCTATGTAAGATAACAATCAACTCTGCTTTTACTCTACAATTGTATGTTTTAATTTATATTAGGAATATGGTGGAAACACAATACGCTGTCTTGGTAAAGTTTATGCACATGTGGTGAAACATGGTAGAATACTATAAATAAAAAAACAGTAATAAAATAATTCTATGCTTTAACACAAACATGAGCATAGAAAAACCCTACATGTTTTACGGTTTCCATGCATATATTCTGCAAATAATGAAATAAAACAATGAGAGTCCCAATGTCATTAAAAGAAATGTAGATTTAAACCAACAGTTCAAGATAAATGAAGGTAGCCCCTTTTTTGCGAATAGGAAGAGTAACCTAATTCATATTATTTCAGTTGTTACCCACATGAGGGGCGGGCCTGGTGCAAGCGGTAGAGTCTTACCACCTGTGACCGGAAGGTTCCGGGTTCTAGTCGCGGTCTCCTCGCATTGCACAGGAGAGGGTAAGGCTTGCCACTGACACCCTTTCCCAGACCCCGCACAGAGCGGGAGCTCTCTGCACTGGGTACGCCTTTTTTTTACCCACATAAAAGTAGTTATTCTGAATAGGATAACATATGCTAGTTTGGATCAAGTAGTTCGAAATCACACACTGTCATACATTTCTATCTGACCCCAAACTATGAAATTATACAAATCTAATTATGTCCCTAAACTAAATGAGTGCCTCCATCGCAACCCGAAGCAGTCACATCACAGGAAAATAGCTTGTGTGATGTTCCTGCAAGGGAGCAATATATGGGTGCACATCTCATAATTGCATGGTTGGTTCCTAAACAATTACTGACTCTCACCTTGATCCTTAGGCTATGAAATTGCAAATTTAGGTCCATAATCCATTGAAGTACTACAATCTCGGTCCAAAGCAGCTATTCCTCCACTGCTAGATGGATGATGCACTCAAGCAAGCATCAGTGTCTACGTAGCATTGTCGAGAGAGAGGATACCCAACAGAGCTAACAAATTAAAGAATGGTATAGTTTGGCCATAGAGAGTATCCAAGCATTCACCAAGAACGAATTGTGTCCTTGCACGCTACTAGAATGAGCTATGCAGGGTTCTCAACTATAGTATGTTCTTTGGGATGGTTCCATGCAGCTGCCCAGAATGAATTGTTGCCACTGGGTGGTCGTGTAGGTGGTCTTTTACAAGGTTATACGCATGACAACACTATCTGAATCCAGTCACATTGTGTTGCTAGCATGGCAAGTGGTTCCAAGACGTGGATTGCACCAAGACAAGATAGCATGTGGATGATAAGATTGGTCAAGAATGAGCTTTCGCTCCAAGCCTCTCTGGCGAGCTAGACGACAATGAATGGAGTATGTTGGGGCTATTTTGGGCTGAGATAGAGTACTTAAGATTGTGTTGGGCTGCGCCTGTCACCTTTCGCGCCCCCTGCTAGCGAAAAAGGGGTTGCTCAGCGATTAGCCCCTTTCGCGTCCCCAAGAGGGCGAAAGGAAGCGTTCAGCTAAGACGGATACCCGCGTGCGGCTCAAGGGCAGGCTCGAAGAGAAGATGCTTTCGCTCGGCCAGGCGATAGGGTGGCCGCCGGGGCGAAAGGGCGGGGTCGGTTGGACCCTATAGCAATGTAACTTACTCCGGTTTTGTAGGAACTCTTCGCCTGCTTTCGTCGCTAAGGGAAAGGCATCTCGGGGCCCAGCGACTACAGCTAGCAGACGGGACCACCGGCTCGCGACAGGGGCGGTCGGAGCTCGGGGGAGGCGCAGCAGGAAAAGACCGGAGTGCCCTCGGCGAAAGGGAATATCCCCTCGGATCAGGGTAGTTGTAGGGGCATTTACGTCCATGTAAGTTCTACGGATGTGTATAAATAGTGCCCCCGCCGGGGTTGTACAGGAGGAAACCGATTCCCAGTCAATGAGATCAAGTTGAGCCGCTTCCAGCGGCCCCTTCGCCAGGTTGTTCTTTGTGTCTTTGGCGTTTGTTGTTCTTTGTGCTTTCGATGCTGGTGCGAGCGGCAACCCGGAGTTCTAAGGTTACAACCTAGAACAACAGATTGAGACCTTTGCAAATTTATAGTTTGGGGACACAGGTGTGTATCGCGTAATAGTTTAGGCACCAACCTTGTACTTATGAGCTATGATGAACCCACATGTGGTTCCACGCTAAAGCACCACATCAGCTAATTTGTTGTGATGTGGCTGCTTTAGACCAAAATTGGGGTACTTAAATAGTTTAGGGACCTACATATACAATTTTATAGTTTCGTGACCAAGATGAGAATGACGTAGTGCGTAGTTTATGGAGCGCTAGTGTACTTTACTCTATATTCTATTAAAAGATAATGGCAAAAATTTTATATTCTAGTAAAAAATGATGTCAAATTTCAAGAATGTAAACCTCTAAGGCAGCGGTTGTATTTTGTTGAGACTTATTGAGTAGTTATCTTAGGTATCCATTATACTTCATTCCAACAAAACATTTGAGTAATTAGCTTATTATGGTTCATTTTCAGGAAGTAAATTATTATGCACTGAATTCTATTCTTGTATAGATTCTTCCCATGTTTCACTATCGCTGTCAATGCCCTCTTAACTTATCACGCTTCTCATATTTGTGCAGGTTTTGAGACCAGAGTAACAAAAAAATGATGAAGAAACAACTATCTCACTAAACTGGTAAATATATATGCCATAAAAGCAGAGCCGCCTTCGTCATGGGAACCACCATACTATCAGGAATCATTCTGTTTGTCTGTTCATATTCCCAATCTAACGAACATGCTGTTTGTCTGTGTGGTTTTGGCATCCAGATTGCCTAGCTCATAGCTGGCTCAATGTTCCTATCCTTTTCCTGTTATGTTTCAAGAACCTAATAGAGAGTAGTATTTGGTTTACTAACCTCTGCTTATCTGTTATATTGGATACTTCATTTCTTCTTTAAGTGAATCATGATATCTTGAATGTTCTTGTATTCCAGCAGTATTTGAAACAGTAAGATGTCATGGCATTATTTAAGTTAATCATTCATGTCAACTTTTCTTTCTAAGTGAAATTGAATGTCTCATCATTCAGATCGGGTGGTACAGTTTGGACGTTTGGTTAAAGCTAAGGGTTTTATAATAAAAACTTTCCCGAATGGAAAAACTTTATATTACATTAAGATTTGGGATATTATTTCTGGAACATTTCTGTCAAATCCTGGACAAAACATTTACTCTGGTATAAACTCTCATAAATCCAACTGTAAATATATTACATTATGATTTGGGTTAGTAACATTGGACGATCAAGGGATGTGCATGAGTCAGTGCAACTTATGTACATTTAACTATTTCTATTGTTTTCTTGAAAAGTTTCCAACTGCCCAACTCCAAATTTAGTTGTCTTGAATGGGCCTGGAATATATAATGCGAGAATAAAAGTTGTCTTAACAGTATATATTGTGCGAGTTGAACTGTGTTTTTGCCTGGCCAGCATCTTGCTTTTGCATTTGTAATCACCATGACATGTGTTCTACATGATGTTTTTGAAATAATGATTATTTTGTTCAAATTTTATGCGACGTAGCAAAAATGGGCTATTATACAGCGGTGAAACAACAAATTTACACTAATCATTGGATCGTGTTGTTTCATTCCTTAAATTAAAGCACTCTAAATGATATGGCACTCTGGAAAACAGCAAAATGAAACTTTCCATGCATTAGTATTGACTTTTACCGGATAGGTCATCATGGAACTGATGGCCTCTTAAAACATAGGAAAAATACTAGCAAGCTAATAAGGTAGGGTGAAATAAAACCAATTATTATTGTCAAAAAACATACATCTTTAACGGAAACCATTACATTTGTACTAAAAAGAATTGGGTGGATATATATATGACACCACTACACAGATAATTTTTTATAATTACCTCCTATTGTTTTATGTAAAGCGACCCTGAAAATATTTTAAAGGTGATTAAAAAATCAGGGTGGTTAACTTTGAAGTCAACTAGCCATAAAAATTGATCTTCGGAGCGGTTGACTTAGTAAAACTGCCCTTTAAAAAGCCACATTTCTATAATTGGTGGTATAGTAGCGGTTTTTTTTTTTAATCCGGTATAGTAGCGGTTTCGAAAACCGCATCTAGCTAAAATCTGACCTTGACTGCTTCTAAAAATCATGTGTGTCATTGTATAATGCTATGCACGTATTATGTTGATGAATCTTAAAGTTGCTACTCTGACGAATCTCTTTCAATAAATTTCACACTATGCCATATCAAAATTGCATGAAAGACATATTATGTGTGAGCGAATGCTTGTCAAATCGGTAGTGCTAGCGCCCGGACATCCAGACTCCCACTGTTTCCCACGCCCACGTGAGCCCGCGCCACCCGGACATCACCGGGTAGCTCGACTCGACGTGGGGACCGCTCGCGCTCCTCTGCTTCCCCTGTCCGGACGTTTGCGCCTGCTTGGCAGTGCCCCAGCAGTTGCAACAGATGCTGCGGCAGGGGGATCCGTTGCAACATGTGCGACACCAGATCTACTTTTGCAACATCCAGATGAAACACTTGCAACATATGCTCGAAACAGCTGAAACACTTGCAAAACATCTAAAAACACTTGAAAAACACATGTATAGTAGTTGCAAACATATGCAACATCCAGACGAAACACTTGAAATATACGCAACATGCATGTATATGCAAAGATGAAACACTTGCAACATATGTCTGAAATAGATGAAACATTTGGACATACACTTGAAACACCATTGCAACATGTGCAACATCACAATCTACTTTTACAACATCGATATAAAACACTTGCAACATACCTCCGAACATCTGAAACACTTGAAACATGCGCTTTCTGCGTAATGTCAACTTGCTGCTTGGACGAATAGAGGCTTGTCGTTGTGAAGCTCGACGCTGGCACAAAGGTTGGCGGCGACGCATGGAGCTTGTTGTGGCGTGGGGCTCACTGGTGCAGCAGCGGCACGGGCAACTCGTCAGCTGGGCGGTGTCACATGAAGCTTCTCCACTCGCCTGCTTGCTGGAGCATCTATCGTGGAGGCTCGCCGGTTCGGTGTCGCATGCGTGGAGCTCGATGGCGCACATGGAGGCAAGGCAGGAAGGAGAGCGGTTGCAGCGGCGATGGAAGAAAGAGGACGGGCATGGGTTAGGTCGGGGCCGTGAGGGAGGAAAGTAGGTAGTGAGGGAGTAACGCGCGGTCAGCAGCGAAGGAGATAGGCGAGCGGAGATAGCAGCGATGTTGGGGAGAGGAGCACCAGCGTGGGAGAGAAGTCTGTTAGGTGGAGACTGTTGGGCCATTCGCAGGCTGTATGAGTCGTGGTCCAGTTAAAACAGCATTGACACGAAAGAAACAATCCGGATGTCCGTGTAGGAGCATTTCCGGTTGTCAAATACTGAAAGAAGAACCTTCCTTAAGGAATGTTCGGCGGGCCCATTTACACTACCGGACTCAGTGAATTTGCCAAGTGCCAGGGGCACTCGGTAAAGCCCAATTTGCACTCGGCAAAGGCTTTGCAAAGTCTTTGCTCAACAAAGCACTGCGGCAAAAAAGCAGTCGGCAAAAAGCGTCAAGAAAGAGTGTCTTTATCGGAGTGTCTTTATCGGCAAAGCCTTTTGCCGAAGTGCCACTACGCAAAGTTGGAACCGAAAAAAAACCCAAAAAATGAGAATTTTTACCCAAAAAATGGAATTTTTTAATTGGTGGAGGCCCCCACCGGTCGGCGCCCATCCATCTCCGGCTTTTTTCGCGTAAATTTCGGCTCTGCTACGCGGGACGGGATTCGAACCTAAGACCTCTCGCTGCACAAATCTCCTCTACCACTACATGTCACTTGTGTCTAGATTCCGCGTTTTGTTCCCAATATATTATACTAAACCGAGTGTAAATTGCTTATTTGAGGCACTAAATGAATTCAAATCAAAAAGTGGTCAACTACAAAGTTTCATAACTTTTTGAGATCTACAATTTTCATTTAGTAAGTTTTTCCATCCGAGGTCGTTTGAAAATTTTGAATTTTAAATTTGAGAGATTCAAACGTAGTTTTGCATGATAAGATGATTTCAAATCAAAAAGTTTTCAACTACATAGTTTCATAACTTTTGGAGATCTACAATTTTCATTTAGGAAGTTTTTTCATCCTAGGTCGTTTGAAAAATTCAAATTTTCAAATTCAAACGTCGTTTTTGCATGAAAAATGATTTCAAATCAAAATGTTGCCAACTACAAAATTTCATAACTTCTCAAGATCTACAAAGTTTATTTTGGTCATTTGTTCATCCGACATAGTGGTAGTAACATTGTTCACAAATCATATATATCTCTCTTCTATTTTCATGAAATTAATGAGAGATGTATATTTTATGAACAACGTTATTGTCGCTTTGTCAAATAAAGAAATGACCAAAATAAACTTTGTAGATCTTGAGAAGTTATACAACTTTGTAGTTGAAAAGTTATTCATTTGAATTCATTTAAGGCCTCAAAAATTGATTCAAAAAACTGATTTGCCGAGGGCCAAAAAAATACACACGGCAAAATACCCCTTTGCCGAGTGCCAAATCATAGGCACTTTGCAAAATACGGCTTTGCCGAGTGTTAGAAAAAAAGCACTCGGCAAACTGAGAGTAAATTGCTTGTTTGAGGCCCTAAATGAAGTCAAATCAAAAAGTGGTCAACTACAAAGTTTCATAACTTTTTGAGATCTACAATTTTCATTTAGTAAGTTTTTCCATCCGAGGTCGTTTGAAAAATTTGAATTTTAAATTTGAGAGATTCAAACATAGTTTTGCATGATAAGATGATTTCAAATCAAAAAGTTGTCAACTACATAGTTTCATAACTTTTGGAGATCTACAATTTTCATTTAGGAAGTTTTTTCATCCGAGGTCGTTTGAATAATTCAAATTTTAAAATTTTCAAATTCAAACGTCGTTTTTGCATGACAAGATGATTTCAAATCAAAATGTTGCCAACTACAAAATTTCATAACTTATCAAGATCTACAAAGTTTATTTTGGTCATTTGTTCATCCGACATAGTGGTAGTAACATTGTTCACAAATCTTATATATGTATCTTCTACTTTCATGAAACTAATATGAGAGATATGAGAGATGTAGATTTTATGAACAACGTTATTGTAAAGCTTTGTCAAATGAAGAAATGACCCAAATAACTTTTGTAGATCTTGAGAAGTTATACAACTTTAATAGTTGAAAAGTTTTTCATTTGAATTCATTTAGGGCCTCAAAATTGCTTGAAAAAAAATGATTTGCGAGGGCAAAAAAAATGCACACGACAAAAAGCTTCTTTGCGAAAGTGCCAAAACAAAGGCACTCGGCAAAATACATCTTTGCCGAGTGCCAGAAAAAAACACTCGGCAAAGACGTATTTTGCCGTGTGTTTTTGTTTGCCGAGTGTATTTTATTTGGCACTCGGCAAACACGGTCTTTGCCGAGTGCCCGATAAAATACACTCGGCAAATCGCCGGTTTCCGGTAGTGTATTAGGTCTAGAGGTACCTAACTCCGAAGTGACACCTGTGTAATTTACAACTAAATCCTTTTTGCGGTACCTCGCGCTCCAAATTCAAAACCGTGTACACAAGCAAAAAGTCTTTTGATATGTA